CGAATAAATCCCATAAAGGCAGGCGATAAAGTCAGGTGAACAGTCCTGGAAGTGCTGGGGAGCCATTTGTCCGTGTAAAGTGCAGCACGGTGCTGAAACGTTGATTTGGGAGCGGCATCTCTTTGAAGAGAGATGGAACAGGAGCAGGATGTGGCCCTCGGTTCCGTCGTGCTCACCATGATGTGAGGGGAGCCAGGACTATGCCGGTGTGGCAGTAAAAGGGCAGAAGAAGGCCTAGAGGAAGCAGTCAGCCTGTGGAGTGGTGTGAAGGAAAGGTCATATGGGGTACAGGAAAGACCCTATGTTTTAAGTCTACGTAGATCATAACTTTGAACTAAATCAGCCTGACCAACTCAAAACACTGTATCATAGAGGGTCAGACATTATGGAGTAGACTGGCAGCCTAGAAACAAGTTTCTTCAGAAATGTGTGAAGGTATCACACATGGAGGTGAAAAGCTTGCAAATACAAACCACGGTATAAACCACCTTGTGGCTCTGAGTATCTGAGGAAGATTAAGAATTTTGGACCTCAGCATTCAGCATAGAAGTCTTTTATACAGTGAAAATTCTTAAAGTGACTGAATTAAAAATGGAAACATAAAGTTTGGCATTGAAATGCTGTCATATGGCTAATAAGATACATCCATAAAGGAGGATTGTGGTGGATCTGGTGAATGTGACAGATGAAGGAAAGCCAAACAGTGAATGTTCATGACAAAATAGTGGAAATCTCTTTGACTTTTTTTTAAACAAAAAAAGATAGATGATGCCTACTCGACCCAAAAAGACAGTAGAAAGGGAAAAAGAAGAAAAGCTAACTGAATATGATACTGGGTTGCTGCAAGTTAGGCCCATTTCTTCTTGATGCCTACAGCTTGTCTAGCCCAGTTTGCTTTAGTTATAAAATAAGCATATTTTTATGAACAAGAGGCAAGAACTCTGCCCTCATCTGCTTACAGTGTGCTACCTGTGCCCACTATGGAAATTTGTTGACACACAGCACAATAATATCTGACTTCAATTTGATAATTAAAAGAATGTAAGAATTGAAACAGTTCCTCAGCCAGCCAGCCAAATACACCTCCTGTAGTCTACACTTTCACTTGGGCAGAACATTTGTAAAGAAAAGGTGAGAAAATACTTGTTAAGAGGTAAAAAATAACAACCTGTTTTTTCCTCTGGTTTTGACCACTTTATGCATTCATCTCTATTAATAACATGCTTTGGTTGATAGTGTTAAAATGCATTTAATGTTGTTAACGTTAAAGTAAATTCTAAATTTGCGCAGCTTATTGAGATATTTATTATGGTGTTCAAGTACATTTATTGATACTCACTTTCCATGCTAATAGTTCTGAACCATTATATGTGTTTTCAAAGCCAACAATGTATTGCTTACTTTGTTTTAGATTTGTTTCTTTTTTACTTTGCTATTTGCCTAATTTTGCTGTTGTGATAGTGAAAGATTTTGCCTGTGCACACTTTTTAATATAGTATATGACATAAGTAGTTTTACTGATTTAATAGGATTGTTTATACTGCATCATACTAACCAGGGGGCTCTAAATAGTTGGCGTTTATCCAATTGTTTTAATTAGCAACAGTTTCATGAGCTTTGTAATGAGGACAGATATATTCATTGGAAAGTAGGTTGAGACAGTGACACTTGTTTTTACATCAGACATTTGCAGGTATTAGATGGCAGCAGCTCTGGTCTGAATTTAATTAGCAGCACAGAAGTGAGGAATTCTTTGCCATATTATCAGGCTTCAGTGTTATATTTTTTTAATTCAGCTTTAAAGTGACCTAAATCAGAGTGAGATGTTATTGTGAATACTTTTTTTTCCTATGCCCACATGGAGTTCACACTGACACTAGTGGAAGTTTGAGTACTGTATGAACAAAAGAGTAAGCTCTTTAGATTTGAAGAGATGGAATTTGTGAATAATGCAAAATATATATGTATGTACTGTAATGGGAGTTAAAACCAGGATGCACACTTGAACCATGTCTAGAGTAGCAGCAATTCTTAATGCAGCTAAGATCCATCTGACTTAATTCTTAATGCAGCTAAGATCCAGCTGACTTAAGCTGACTTAATTCTTAAGTCAGTGTCAGGAAGTCCCACAGGGAGAAAATAGCCTTGAGCAGGTAAGAGCAGGCTGCCTGCAGAATGTCATGTGTTAAAAAAACAGCTGTTAAACTGCAGGGTTTTGTTGTTGTTTTTTGTTGTTTGGTTTTTTTTTAAGAGCATCAGGTGTCATGATAATAAAACTGTAACTGGGTTTATGCCAGTTGTTTCAAACTTCAAACAGAAGCTGTATATTTCCTGAGCAGTTGGGTCCAGTGTTAAATAACGGCAACTTCTGTGGGTGGAATAGATTTCTCATCACAGGACAGCTCAGGATGTACTTGTGCTGTCATTGGGGTCAGGGAGATGGCTTCAGAAACTGTGAGGTCAGACCATTACATGGATGAAATTACATATATGAATAAGGTCAACATTTTTTTCTAGTTACTTAGTATCCCAGACAATTTTTACTATAGATACACAGTAATTTTTCTCTTCTAAAATAATATGGAGAGTGTACTTCAAGTCAAAGTCAGGTACATATTCTGTACTATGCTGGACAAGTTTTCTATCATTAGGGAAAAAAAAATCTAGAGTTATACTAGAGAAAATAATATCCCAAGTAGGTCAGAGAATAAGCCAAACACCCCCTGGTTAAAGAAAAAAAAGTGTCTGTATGATGATTCCATTACTGTTTACTGTAGAGATGGCAGTACCTTCCATGTATTTGTATAGTAATTTTCATGTGCCTATGCAAGCTCTTCCTGCACAAGGAAGTCTGTCTCGAGCAGTGTTAGAGGTATACCTATTAAGCTAAGTTTCTGTTACGTATTTGCTTGCTGTTTATCTTTGCCTGTCCGCTTATCTTTTAGATTGTAAACTATGTATGCCCTATGTATGTCACATGCTGTCTTCTGTTCGTTCTTGTGTGCTACTCAGAACGAATGACTTCAGATCTAGTCAGAGTTACTGGGTTTACAAAAAAAAAGAATAATTTTTGCAGCAGGAGGACACTCACCTTACATGTTATGATAAAGATTCTTAGGGAATTTGTGTCTTTCTCATTGTAGAGGAGAGCTTAGAAAACACTTGATTGCAGCACTACAGATTTTCTTTTCTACAACTTTAATTTTGTATTTCTCTGTTACTTCTTTCCTTTTAAGGTATACATTTTAAAACTCACAAAATAAGCATGGGCAAACTCAATTTTAATACTTTTTTATTGTAGTACTATCATTTACTTTGGTAAAGTTGTATCCCTGTTTAAAGTGCCTTAAAGCAATTAAAACTTAGTTCAAATTCAAGTATTGTAAAACGTACAGAGTATAAGCACAAAAAATGCTGCATAGTGAAAATACTAGAGCAGGCTAATACATTCAGGATGCCAAATACTCAAGTATTAACAACACCAGATCAGTATTAAGGTTAATGATAGTTAGCCAGCTTCATACAGTAGATACAGAACTGTGGCCAATATAAATGCATTGTTCTTACCATTAACAAAAGATAGAAGCATAACTTAACACTGAAAGAATTTGTGGTATCAGTTTTTGTAACACATGCCGTAAGTAATAAGGCAAATATTGACACTTAAATTAATCTTTTACATGCTGCTGTGAATCCAGCAAATACGGTACATGATTTTTCTAGATCCTGAGCCCCTGCAATCCTAGTGATTTTGGTGAGAGTTTGTGGCATCCATGCCTCTTAACAATCCTCATAAACATTCATTCTCATCTTAATACAATTTTGTTTGAATTTTTGTTTGAAATTTGTCTCATAATGTTATAAAGAAGTGTGTCTGAGTTTGTATTTCTGGTTTTTTTCTGTGTAAAGATGCAAGATCATCTCCTGTACTTTGTATTTGCCCATAGCTACTTTGAGGAGTAGTGGGGAATACTGAATGGGTATGGTAGAATTTTACTTTGAATAGGTAGCCCTTATTTTGTCTGTTTAATTTGAAGCTATGATAGTTGTACCCTGGTGTAATAGTGACTTGTTATATGTACTAGATCAAGACATGACTTACCTATAAGATCCATCAGAAGAGGAATTTGTTGACAATATTTTAATTCACATTGTTATCATACACAAAATTAATTAAATACCAGCATTAAAATGGTTGATTGACTCCTTACATTTGAACAAGTTAAAGGGTATAATTTTACTTGCTATGGCTAAGAAAGTTGTAGTAGAGATATGTGTGGCCAAATAAGAGAATGATTGATTTTCAATGGAAATTACTGTTTCAAAATCAATGGAAAAATATGGCTAAAATATTATTGGTTTGTAACAACACTTTAAAAGATGTTTGTATAATTATGTAAGGGAAAAACATTTTTGCTCAGTTGTTGCCTAAAAAAAAAATAATTTAAAAATACCAGCCACTTTTAAAAGAAAATTCTTCATTAGTAGTTTATGTATTGTAAGAGCATCTTTGTATGTAATTTTTGCTGTTAGAAAGTATTATTTTAAAATATATTTCAAGAAGTATGACAGTTGTGATATAAATTATTACAAGGATTCATCAGTCATGTGGATGCAATATTGAATAATTAGGAGAATGAAATATGCATTTCTCATTTCCAGAAAGAGAAAATAAGTTCTCTTTTACAAAGGCAGAATATGTCAAAGTATAAAGTTATAGTTTAATTTTTGTACTATTTGGTGAAATTCTACAAAACAACAATAATGAGAAAATTAAAGGGCTGCACCCGGAGTATAAAACTAGTAGAAGTTAGGTTTCTTGGAATCTTAACTCCCTTGCTCTTCTCCCTTTCTTTTAAAAGACTTCTATGTTTTTATTGTATTAATCAAAGTACTTAGTAAGATTTCATAGTTGTAGCAAGATAGCAGGCCATGTAAGTCCATCTACAGTTTATTTCCAGAGCTCGTTGGAGATGAGCTTTGGGTTAATTTGCTGTAGGTTAAGGTTTGATAGAAGGAATACTGCAAGATCTCCTCATTACCAGCCTGACTTCAATGTCGGGAAGAGTTTTCTTTTTAGTGTGTAAACATCCTTCGTCCGTTGCTGCTAGGTGGAGATCAAAGCGCAATGAAACTGATTTTTTCCTTAAGCGAGGGTTGTCCTTAAAGAAAGAACCTTCCCATTCTTTAATAACTTCATCCACTTTTTCTGTCCTGAAACAATAAAGCAAATGTATTTATGATCCTTCAGGCAATATGAAATGTTTATCTTCAGGACTGCTTTTAAAACATAGAGATAAATTGCATAATAAAGTCTCAAGTTATTTTAGATGGGTACTGAGACACTAGAATTTTCTTTTTTTCCCCACAGGTTCATCTCCAGAAAAGCTAAAGAGAGGGTGAGGATTCATTATATTCTTGGTTTTGTACTTTTAAGTAGACATGGATACAAACCCACTGCTCTAAACACAGCAGGCAGTTTGTTTCCAAGGAGAAATTTTGGAATCCAGGCTCAAAAACTTTGCAAGAAACCTCTGTACACCAGTGGGCACGACAGAATTCCTGTATCTGAAAGCCTTCAAAATAGGGAGGAGAAAAATATAGTTCAGATCCAAACCTTAGAATGTTGATCTACTTTAAATTAAAAAAGAAAAAAAGGGCAGAAGTAAAATACAGAGAATTGAAAATCCATCTGATTCAATAATATTTAGGTACTCAAACCTTATTGATTTAATCCTCTAAGTATGTGTCAGGATCTGGATCTAAAAGTCCAGCTCTGGGGCTTTACTCAGGTAGAGTAAACTACCAGCCAAGCGGCCCTGTGCAAATTTGACAGACTGTGTAAGATGAGCAAAGCTCATGTATGAACATAAGCTTCAGGTATGGAATGTGTACGGTGTACCATATGATGACATTAATTTTTAATCAGGATTTCTACATGTTTTCAACCGCTCATTACAGTTAAGTATTAATGACATGGCACACTACAGTTTGTTTTAAATGTAATGCTAAATGCTAGTCTACAAAAGAGCTTGAAGAGCAGCAGAAGAAAAAAAAGAATGAGGCAATCCAATACTATTAAAGTAATTTAAAGTCAATAATACAAACTAACAGTCTGTCACTTGCACACTTAGGAGCCAAGCTCTCCGTTCTCTGTTTGGTAATTGGTGAAACGTAGGACCTTCCAAATAGCAAGTTAGAGCAGCCAAGCCTGAATTTACGTGCATAAATATGCCCCAGAGAGACTTTGCAAATATGATATGGGCTCTTTTGCTTTCAGCCTTAACTAAATGAATTATTCATAGTTTCATTCTTGACAGAAATAGAAATTACAAATCAGAAGCATCATCATGATATTGTTAGCTTATGAAGTAAATGCTAATAAAAAGAACTTTAAAATTTAATTTATTGTGAAACATGCCATTCAATACACCTTCAAGGACTATCACTGTTCTTCTGGAGCTTCTTGGCTGTGTGGGTATGATATAAGAGAAACTAAACAAAGGAAAACTCAAAGCTACTGAGATATAATGCCCACCATTTACTTTTAGTTGTTATTTTGTTAAATTCACGTTTATCTTACTGTACAGTGCCATGAGCTTCAGTGCTTTCCTTCATAATATTTCCATCTAGGACTGCTTGTTTTGTCATCAGTTCCACTTTCTCATTTTCATGCTTCTTCACACCATCTGTAAAAGAAAATGCAGATATACTAGGCAGGCAGAAGAGTAGGTCAGGACACAGGACCTAGAGGTATTTTTCTTCTTCCTGTATTGGAAGAAGATAATTTTGTAATATCCAGTAATTTGTCAGTAGTTCGGAACCATCTTTAGGGCCATAATTCCCTAAGGGGAAGGTGCCCAAGAACTCACTCAAAGGCAGTGTAAAGGCAATCTTGCTAGTGGTAGGCTTTTTGTCGTCCTTCTGATCAGGTACAGAGCAACGAAACCTGCAAAAATAAAAATTATTACAGTCATCTAATAATATTGAATTACTTTAATCCAAAACTTGTCTTATGAACAGCTATGAAAAATCTAAAAATAAGAGCACCATGAGAAGTTCTGTTTGCTTGTAGTAACTGTTAGGATTTCTCATTCTGAGTATAGAACTGAAGAAAGTTACTGAAAATATCTATGCAATTTCATCATTCCTTTCTGACAGTTTTTAATTATAGAATCATAGAATGGTTTGGGTTGGAAGGGACCTCAAAGATCATCTAGTTCCAACCCCCCTGCTGCGGGCAGGGACACCCTCCACTAAACCACGTTGCCCAAAGCCCCATCCAACCTGGTCTTAAACACTTCCAGGGATGGGGCATCCACAGCTTCTCTGGGGAACCTGTTCCAGTGCCTCACCACTCTAACAGTAAAGAATTTCTTTCTAACATCTAATCTAAATCGACCCTCCTTCAGCTTGAACCCATTCCCCCTTGTCCTGTCACTGCACTCCCTGATAAACAGTCCCTCACCATCTTTCCTGTAGGCCCCCTTCAGGTACTGGTAAGTCAGTTTGTTGTGTTGCAGGGAGACCTATTAAATTTTATTAAAACTGAATTGTGTGTATTTTTACAGAGTTAGAAGCGTTAAATCTGAAACTGACTCCCCTGTCTGGAATCTTCTTGTGCAAATGTGTGAGGTTCCTGGACTGAAACCCTCCATTTTCTGTAGAAAGGACTGAGGGAGGCAATGGTCCACTGAAAGATTTCAGAATCATGCACCTGGTTTGTGAAGATACCAGTTCTGAGTACAAGATGCAATATTTTGCCTTTTTCTCATCCTCTTGGTTGTTTACCTTTGTATAGCTGCCTCTCTCAGTCTACATTTCAAAATACCAGTGTTTGTGTGCCAGGGAAAGGGCAGACATGGAGTTACAATCCAAGCAAAATCTCACTGGAAGGCATATCCTTCGATAGCGTCCTAATGTGCCTTAACACACTTTGAATACTACTGAGTGGTATGAACTCCATGCAAATGGACATCTGTCATGTGATGAGATGTGAACTCTTCTCCCAGAATGTCACGTGTGTGGACTTGCTTCATCAACGGTCTGAGACAAACAGAACCCATGTCAAGCAGGTAATGGGTTACAAAGTCTACGTCAACATGCAGTGCCTGGAGTGAGGATGCAGTAAGCATGCTATTATCTGCAGCACATCGTGGAGATACTCAGCTCCAGAAAGTGCAGAATCAGTGAAGTTAAGTTATGATCCTTACATTTCTAAGGATTTTATACCGTAACTTTTTAACATTTGGTTCATTTATTTACAATTCGAATGATGATTTCAATGAGAAGTTCTGAAATAGAAGATTAATTTGAGTACTTTTGCTCTAAACAAGAAGTACCTGTTCTCTTCTTGCTCAAGCAGACTGCGATATGTTGCTATCTCCTCCTCCAGTTTCATCCTCGTGTTCAGGAGAATTTCATGCTCTCGAAGCTGTTTCTCAATACCTCTTCTCACTTCCAGTAGCTCTTTCTCTAAGCATTCAATCTCAGCTTCTAAATGTTGCAGTTGCATGTGGTACTGCTGCTCTGTGGCACGCAATGAACGTTCCAAACCCTTTTCCTGTGAAATTTAACTCATATTTTAAGGTTTGGAAAGTGTATGTGTAAAGACGCTATACGTACTTTTCATTAACAAGCTGTGTATTTTTACACCAGTTCTTTTAAGAATATTCTTTAGGAGCAGAAGTAAAGCTTTCAAGATAATACTTTTGCTGAGAAATTTTCCAGTAAAGTCTGTAATAATTTAAGATAGGATAAAAAAATTTAGCCTTCTGTTGTACCAGCAATCCACTACCATTGATTTTATAGATCTCTGATTTTACCTGGATGGTTAAAACGATATCCAGCTCAGCACTATGTGAAAACTGAGTGGTCTGTGTGCTCTTGTAGCTTATCTATATTACTGACTTCAGTAAATTGCTGACATATTTTATCATGAACGAATTGATAAATTTGGTCCACACATTCAAAGAAAGGTATAAACCTGATGTGAATTCGTTAGGCAGAATGACTGGGAACTTGATGAGGGAGTATCATGCAAATACATGTTTGGCAGGTGTGAAAACATGAAAACACGTGTATATTGAATGGCAGATCCTGAATCAAAACATATGATACTCTGAAATGTGAGCAAATGCCTGAGTTCTTGCTTGCTGGTTAGTGCTCTGCGTAACGAGCTGAAAATCCACCACAAAGCTATGTGTTTCTGTGTTTGTTGTATTTCTGCTGTGTAGTGGATGTGATTGTTACATGAACTGAATTGTGGAATAGTTTACGTCAAGAAAATATTTATTTTTTCAAGGAGATTTCAAGTTTCGTGTTATGATGCTTACCACAGCGTGGAGAGATTCAATTTCGATCTGCATATGGTGCCACTGCCGTCTCGCTTCGCAGAGTTCTGCTCTGGCTGCCTTTAATGCTTCTGCATCTTTGTCCATTCTTATAATTGTAGCTTCGTCTCGCTACAGGGGATATAAATAACATAATAATTTTTAAAAATAGACAAATAATGAAATAGATGCATAAAAATCTCTAGTTGCAATTTTTTTAGAGTCATAAATTTGTTAAAGCTAATACTGCTGAGTTAATACTTCATGTACCGTGTAGATGGGAATCCCTTATCCTGCTGTGTTTGATGGGCAGTAGTTGGCCGCATCTTTATCCCTAACGTATTTGTTGTAGAGGAATTCCCACACAAATTAACCAGATGTATTTAGACCTTATTCACCTCTAGAGTAAATAGGCTTAACTTCATGGAAATTAGAGGAATTGCCGTCAGTTCAAGCCTCCAGGTTTGAATAAGGTTCTTTGGGTTTAATGTATTTTTGATTTCTAAGAACAGCTTTATAGAGAGGGAGCACTTTTAAGCAGTTGCATGCATGTCACAATTGACAATTGCTCTAATTATGGTTTTGCCTGATATAGTCATTGACTAGATTTCAAATTGCCATTTGAGAGGAAGTACCTCCATTGATTTAAATATGAATAGCATCTTTATCCAAATCTGCACTTTTCCTTGTCCTCTAAGGACAGGTTATTTAAGTTTTACTTATCACAGGAAGGAAGGAATTGGTGTGTTCTCTGAGTAGATGCTGTCACCCATGTTAAGTGTGACAATTCAGAAGTGAAGTGCCTGTTCTCAGTTTCATGCTGATCTAAAATATTATTTGAGATAATTTGCCATCCTTAAGGCTGAAGCTTTATCTTGGCAAAAAAGTAAATACTCAGACAAGCACTGTATTGTGTTTGCAAGAAAATGTGGAGTTTTGCCCTTTTTTTTCCCTATTGAAAGTAGTTTATTAACTAACCCTGAGGATGTGTGGGGTCATTTTAGATTTGGGCTCATCTTTGATTTAGATAATATGTTCATGCATTTAACTTCCAGAATGATTGTTTTGCTAATGAAAGTTATTTACCCTTTTTGATTCTGAGTTTTACTGCAAGTGGTGAAGATGCAATAAGCACTGGAAACAATACATGCTCTTTTGCATATGTTATTGCTTTATGTAGGTTCTTATGATGCCATCAACTCTAAGGAAATGAACTCATTAATCCAGGTCTTATGAAGCAAGTAAAACAAGTTTCTTTTTTACCTCCATAACATACCTACCTATTGTAATTTTACCATGCCATTGTTTTGGTGAAAAATCTAGATTTGGCTAATCCACAAGTGAACACTCAGTATTCTTTGCTTATCCTTTTTTGCCTGGGTACTGCAGAATTTATGTCACAAGATTATATCAGCACACGTTGTCTGCTTTGTGCCAGACACAAACATAAACTTGGCTTAACTATCTACTGTACAGCTGCTGTATGCCATTGGATTACTGTGTAGATTAGCCAGATTGCAGCAGGAGTCTGGCCTGTGGTTAAAAAAAACCTCCAGAATTTTTGCAATACCTAAGAAGTACAACAGGGTGATAGAATACCTAATTTTCACCCTGAATTTCTTGACATTTGATGCTCAAAAATTGTTTTGCCATTTTATTTCAAAGTTCAGTTGGCTTTTAGACATGTTTTGTATGTAAATCTCTAACAGTAGCATTGTGTGTTGATAACATTTAATCAATCTGTATGAAAGAACAAATTATATTTGCTGAAGAGTATGACATAGTTTTAGTGTGAACAATATAAAATAGTTCCTGAAAACGTACAGTTTTCTTTAATACAGGTGCTAAAAATGGTAAAGCTTTCTGTATATAAATGGATTCTTTACATTGCCTTTGATTTTCAAGATTCTCTTTTCCTCTGGGATAACTAAATGGTGCTAGAGGTTACTATGTTACAGCATATGTCATCATTTTTTAAATCACAACAATATCACTGTTGCAGGTACAGAAAAACATCCAGATGAATTACACAGCATTCTTTTAGTGTGAATTTCATACCCTACGCAAAATCTATTTCCATATCTTCTAGTTCACATCTTACTGCAGTAAAATCAAAATCCCTTCCCCAATAATATGCTGCATTGAAAAGGAAATACTGTACCTCATAGAGGCCGAGGGAGGAATTGTATAGACAGGGATTGTCTCCTTACTCTGGAAGGTGTATGTCTGTATGAAGTCATTACCTGGGTCCTTGCTGAGATGATGGTCTTTATCTGATTTCTGGTGATGAGCGTTTCATACTTTGCCCTGATCTCATTGAGGAGCTGGGACAGTTCCATTCTCCTCCCATCCTCCACCTTGGCTAACCGAACCTTATTGATAGGATGAGCCGGCTGCTGCAGAGCCTTCACTGCCTGCAGTGAGAGAGAGGCAGAGAAAGCACAGGCGGGTTTTAAAGCTGCAGAGCTTTATTTTTGAGGATGCACTGGACGGTCAGGGGCTTCCAATCGTTTCGAAAAGCAAGTTTAGTAAAGCAAAGGTCTGCCACTTTTGCAGCGATTAAAAGAATGATTCCTAAATTATGTGCTGAAATGAATATATACAATGTCTTTATGGTTTTGTTACACTAGAACTTGTTTTTTTTATAATCTCAAAGATGTGAGGATAAGAGATACAAAGTAAAGGACAAAATTCCAGCAGCACAGCGTGAGGGTGCAATCGCAGAGGGGAAGGGAACAGCTTCCCCACAATACACGTGTGTTGGTGACGGTGCTGCTGGAATGTGCCTTCACCAGGCGGTTGTGCAGCACTGGAGCAGGTCATTTGGGATGTTACAGAATTTCCATCCTGGAAGGTTTTTAAGACTCAGTGAGGCAAAGCCTCAGGTGTCTGACCTGATCTAGTGTTGAGGACTGTCCCCCTTTGAAAAGGAGCTGGGCTCCTGGACATCCTCTCCCCCAACATCTTGGTGGTTTTATGGGCAGGAACACAGAAAGAGGGAGAGGAACCAGCACTCCTAGTAGTGAAGAATGCTTGTGCACCTTATGGCGAGGGGTTTGGCTCCCCTTCTGCAGAGTGCAAAGTTCTGGTGAATTTACACTTAAAACATAGCTAACTGGGGTCAGAAGAAATGTCTGGTTTGTCTCTGAAGGTGTTTACAGCACCTCTGCCATGCGGCAGTGTGTGCAGTTCACAGAATGTGCAGAATAGGTGAGATTCTTATACCTTTCCTGACAGCTACCAGGGACATAGAAAGTATAGGTTGTCTGCCGTGCTGTATTTTCTGCAAATAATTCTTCATTTTTGGGCTCGCTGTAGCTACCGTGTGATCCCAGCGATCTTGTCTGCTAAGAATGGCTCTTGCCTATTTTTCAAAGTTTTTTCAAATAATGGGCAATGCAGATATTTAGTTAAAAAATAGATTTTAGTAAAAAATAAAAAATCACTAAGTAGAATGCATTTTTAGACTCCAAATAAGTATATGTAAAGTAAAATGAGAAAAAACGACGGTAAACTTTTACAAGACACTCATCTTTTTAGAAGTCAGAGTATTATACCACTTAAAAGTCTCCTTGTGTGCATAATGCTTCCTTGTTCTTGGCTCTGTCTGCTGGCACATGTAAAAGGATCCTGTGTTCTGATTTTATTTTTCTTAGCTGGCTGTTTTTCAGCTGACCTGGGCTGAGATGAGAATGTTTTGTTGTCCACTATCTTTTCTACAAGTGCCTTAATGATTCTAGTTTTTTGTAACTCTAAAACCAAAATATTGACAGTGTTTTTCATTGATGGTATGATACCAGTCACATAATAAAAACATTAGGAATCCATCAGATATTACCTTAGGAAAGTATACGCATTAATAGGAAGATCCTATGTATTTAAGCAAATAAGAACTTGCAATGTAATTTAAAATCTTCCTGTTTCTTTGCATTGCAATGCTAATTGTTTACAGTTTCCGTTCAACTCCCTGGAACTCAGAATGGTTTCTGTTTCCATCAGGCAAAATCAAGGCTGTCTAGCACCCAAAAGTGTCTCAGTTTGTGATACAATATAGAGGTCTGCAGGGAAGATCATAGGATCATAGGATATCCTGAGTTGGAAGGGACCCATAAGGATCATCGAGTCCAACTCCTGGCTCCGCACAGGACCAGCCGAATCAGAGCATATGACTGAGCGCGTTACCCAGATGCTCCTTGAACTCGATCAAGCTCGGTGCTGTGACCACTTCCCTGGGGAGCCTGTTCCAGTGCCCAACCACCCTCTCAGTGAAGAACCTTTTCCTACTATCCGACCTAAACCTACCCTGTCGCAGCTTCATGCCGTTCCCTTGGGTTCTATCACTGGTCACCAGAGGGAGGAGATCAGTGCCTGCTCCCTCACTCCCCGTCGTGAGGAAGTTGTAGGCCGTGATGAGGTCTCCTCTCAGTCTCCTTTTCTCTAGGCTGAACAAACCAAGGGACTTCAGCCTCTGTTCATATGTCTTCCCCTCTGGACCCTTAGGAATCTCGGATGTGGTCCCACAAACAAAACTTTATAGATCAACAAGCATCTATGGATGAATGAATCTTCATATTACCAGGAGTGAAACATTTGGCAGTTGATCAAATTTTTAAAAGCTTTTAAAAAATAAATTAACACTAATGCTTTCTTTTCCCTTCTTTTTTTTCAGATGTAAAGGGAACATCTGGCTATGAGATCCTTGAAGACTAAAGGTAGGTGGGTGTAAGCAATTGTATCTTTACTAGAATTTATGTGCTTTTGAATTCTAGCTACTTTCAATGCTCATATTTTATTACAGATGTTGGGTTTTAGTTAACTTTATAGTTCAGATATTGTGCGTCAATTATTTGGATTCAGTGATACAACATAACAATGCTGTAGTGATTGCAGACTGCTTTGGTTTACCATTCTTGCATTCTCACAACACAATAGCTAGAGTGGTTTCTAGATTTTACGTGCATCAAAACTGCACCCTAGGTAATTCTCAGTCATCTTTTAGATCACAATGTTAAATTCAGGATCAATGTGTATGTAGGTAAACTGCATGATTATTCAGTGGAAATCCACGTTGAACGATGTAGGGAATAATGATTTCACAGCAATCACAGTTGCAGTCCTTGAGATATGTACATTATTTCATCTTTCTTTGTTTACATTTATACTGAAAGTGTATGTGTCTTTGGAAGAAGAAGGTGAGACACACACATTTTTCTCTTCAAAATGGAGATGTTGTCAATAATGGTGAAGATATTATGGTTTCGGGTTTTCCACATAGGAGAAAAACATTATGGATAGGAAAGGAAGAACGATGATGAATGCTGTCCTGTCTTAGGAAGAGAAAAAATTTCCTTCAACCTATATTCTTAAAATTTCTCTATAGTGATACTGTTGATAATCATACCCAGCTACATAAACAACCTCAATTTGTCTATTTCTGATATTGTTATTTGAATTTATATTGTAATTATTTTAATTTTAAAATGTGGTCTGCACACATTTTATTGGAATACATCACGTGTAGTAGTCTTTTCATTTATTTATCCGCATTGTTTTTAAAGGGGAAAAAAAGAGATACACTTGTGTTCCATGCTTTTAGAAAAGAAATTACTTCCTTGAACTGTTGAAGATGGTGAATTTACTCAATAGGTTTTCAAGTTCTTCCCTCTTTGTGTTGGTATAAATAGAAGATTGTTCTATTTAATTCCTTTGGGTTATTTATCACAGTGTCTTTTCTTTAACTGACTGGATTTTAGATGTTGCAATTCTACCATGCTGATTTAATTCTTGGATTATTGTTTTAATTACCCTGGCTTTTATTGGTTCCAAGTAGGAAGCAGAAAAAATGCTAGTAGTGGATTTTACAAAAGGCAGAATAGAGGCACAGCATGAAATCTGTGCTCCCATTAAAATTTTAGTTGGGGTCAAATGATTAAGGGAACGGATAGAATGTGCAGAGTGTTTGCAGTCTAGAGACACCGTAATATACATGTCAGAGGTCTGATTAACTTTCTTGTCTTATCTGAGAATCACACAAAAATCATCAACGTTTCGGCCCGAGACAGAGGCTTAGGTGTAAATCGTAAGGGGATTGTGTTCCAGTTGGCAGTTTTGTTTTAGATGAGATTCCTTTCACTAGTGAGTTGAGTTGGCCATCAAAGCCAAGAGTGGGTTGTGCTTCCACCAGAGGGCACTCTGGGCCGGAAGTTCCCGCTGTGCTTCCAGCCTCTGCAATGTGTTGTTCCATTTGCCGTGACTTCTCTCTTAAATTGATAGCTTTAAATGATAAATTACCATGTATTCCTTTAATCCCATACTTCAACAGTTTTTTTAACATTTGCACGTTCTAGCATCGGATTAAGTTCTTTAAATTAATGGGGAGCACTATACCACGCACGTAGTATATGGTAAAGCAAGCTACCCAATGAAATGGCGCATGTGGATCAGGAGGAGCAGTCCTAAATGAAGAATAAAGGGAGGCTAATATCTTAAAGCTTGTCAAGTCCTTTTTATTAGTCAAGAAAACTGGAAAATGAGGTTAGAATAGCAAAATTACTTTATCTATTAATTGCTAAAATAATTAAAGAGCATAGCTAATTAAATGCCTAATGTGTGCACCATATTTCTAGCTATTGAACAAAGAATTGATGATATATTTGAAGAACACCATGAAGATAATACAGGTAATACCAACAGACTGAAGCAGAAAATATATTGCATGACTGCTACGAATAAAAATGCAGGCTTTGTTTTATATAAAAGACTCTTAGTAAAAAGCTAATCTCTTTTGATCACTTCATACAAAAGAACAAAACTATTTATCCATTTTGGCTTTGAAAGAAACATGGAGTGATTGGATCCTTTGCAGTATCAGATTGTGCCTTATATCTTCTCTTCAACTTCCTTAACATGGGATGCAACAACTTTTCCATCTACCACTTCTTCGACAATTGTCTTGATCTTTCTAGTTTTGGTAGGATCTAAACATCATAAACAAAACAAAAAATATTTATGAAAGTGTTAAAAATTATAAAACAGAGCAGCACATGTACATGAACAGCTATATCCTTTTCCTTTCAAATTGGCTTCTTGTTATGATGAACACTATGATGTAGTTAAACAGAATAGCATGTATTATTTTATTTGTAAGAATGACTTTAGAAACAAAATGTTATTCAATGAAGTTCTACCTACCCTGAGAAGAATCCAGTGATTGTGTTTGTGATTTGGACCCTGTCAAGGATGAGCTTTCAAATGTAACTCCCTGTCCTGCGCTCCTGAAAGTGAATCAGAGACAGGCAATATTGCAGAATGTTTGTCAGGATCAGGAGAAATTTCATTA